CTGTCTCAGCCTCCCAAGTAGCTGGGACCACAGGCGCCCGCCACAACACCCGGCTATTTTTTTTGGTTGCAGCCATCATTGTTGTTTGGCGGGTCTGGGCTAGATTTGAACCCGCCACCTTAGGTGTATGTGGCTGGTGCCTTAGTCACTGGCGCCGAGCCTAGATTAATTTTTAAAACTTAAATTTAACCCTGTTTTTTCAATTATTATTTGATAATCTGGAATACTCTAATATGTGTTGTCATATTGCATGTGAGGTCTTTTTCTTGGCATTTTTAGCTATAAAATGGCCCTTAATGTTTGAATCCAGCTACAAGGATTGTGTTTTTAAAATTGACAGTGTGAAGGGTAGTTTTAGGACTAACTCAGGATCTAAGAAACATTTGTGTCCATTTCTTCTGTTTCAGCGATTGATTTCTTAGACTTGTTTCTCCCCGGGGGATACTGTTACTTGCTCTCCAAGATGATTTTCAGGGCTGTGCACACATTTTCCTTTCTTTTGTCTCTCTGGTCTGTTACCTCCGGTTTTCTTGCCCTTTCTACCATTCTAAGAGTGTTATTAAAAGTGTAAAAACACTCAGTTGTAAAAGTGACCACACGAGATCTGTTGTACAACATGATGACTTGTAGTTAATAATGTATTTTGAAATTCACTAAGAGAGTTAGATTTTAAGTGTTCTCGCCAAAAAATTTTAAGTATGTGAGGTGATACGTATGTTAACTCAATTGAGCCATTCCACAATGTTTACATATTTCAAACATGTTGTACATGACAAGTATTAGTATCTACAACTTGTGTTTGTCAATTTAAAAAAAACTAAAATAATTTTATTTTAGAAGGGACCTTATCATTTAGAAATATCTGTTGCTGTGTCTGGATTAGAATATTCATTTGTTTCAGTGTTCCATCTTACAGACTAGTGTTTATCCTCCCGCTCCCCACGTTCTAAGTTGCCAAGCTACAGACTAGTGTTCTTTACACAGGTGTACTGCCTGGCCAGTTGGTATCATGGTATGTGCTGTGTTAAAATACAGAAATTCTGCTTTCAGTTTTCCTTACAGTGGGAGTAATTGGTAGAAAAAGAGGAATAATTAAATCCTATGTGGGTAAAAAGCTGGAGATTATTTACTGTGTTACTTTGCAGGATAAGTACAAGTATTGTATTTGACTATGAACAAATGGTGGTAAAATAGACTGAGTTTGTTTAGTTACTGTTAATGCTCTTCTTGGCAGAGAAGCCCTCACTACTAGTGTGTTTATTCTATAAAAAGTCATGAGAAGACAGGCTAGTGCTTCTGCAATATTCTGAATATTTCAACTTCTTTAGTTTGTATTTTACTCTCTTCATTGTTGAGTTGTTTTTTTTTCCCTAGCCACTAGACAACCAGGACTCTGCACTTCATTAAATGAATTGATTTTCCTGGGATAGTTAGTTTTACAACATTTTAAATAAACTAAAGTTTCTTTAGTGAGATGCCTAAAATTTAATTGAATTTTGAGTAATTTAATTTTTTTCAAATGTCAATTGAACTTCTTGAAACTAATAAAAATACAATGCTGGTACTGAATTTTTGGTCTGAATAAAATGTGATTTTAAAAAAAAAAGTTTTTTGGGTCAGTGCCTGTGGCTCAAGCGGCTAAGGCGCCAGCCACATACACCTGAGCCTGGTGGGTTCGAATCTAGCCTGGGCCCTTCAAACAACAATGACATCTGTAACCAAAAAAATATCTGGACATTATGGTGGGTGCCTGTAGTCCCAACTACTTGGAAAGCTGAGGCAAGAGAATCGCTTGAGCCCAGGAGTTGGAGGTTGCTGTGAGCTGTGATGCCAAGGCACTCTACCCAGGGTGACAGTTTGAGGCTCTGTCTCAAGAAAAAAAAAAGTTTTTTGATCTCTTCACTTTTTTTTTTTCCTTTTTTACTAATAGTAGTAGATAGGACATCACCTTTCTGGGAACCTTAAGTAAGTTGTCTTTTTGGGTTTTTTGCTCTGAATAAAATGTGATTTTGAAAAAAGGTTTTTGTCTCTTCACTTTTTTTTTTTCTTTTCTACTACAATAGTTATAGTAGGACATCACCTTTCAAGGAACCTTAAGTAAGTTGTCCTTTTTGTTTTCAAACTTAGCATCAGCCATCCATGCATGTCCATAAACCTCTCACTGTCCCTGTTGCTTCTTGACTTGTACTTTGCTAAATGGATTGTCTTGGAAATTGTCTTTCTCATTCATGCTTTTCATTCAGTGAATGTTCCCCTCAGCAACATTTTGTATGGCCTTTTAGAAAAAGATAGCTTTTCATTTTTATTTTAACTTTTTAATGAATTTGATTTAAATGTCAAAACTTCTTTGTTTTGTGGGGCCCCGGCAAGTAGAAATGACAAAGATCTTATTTTTGAATTAGTTCTTGATATTGTCATTACCATTTTCATCTCATTATGCATGTTATAGACATGGTATTATTCTACTTAATTCTTAAGTAAATTGCAAACTAAGTCCATGGAATGAGTTTTTTTAAGGTCTATGTAAAAAACAGTATTTCGTGTTTAACATATTATGTGCTCTTATAGATATAAAATTGAGAAATCGTTTTAATCCTTAAGGTACACTAGTTAGCTTCTATTTCTTTGGGTATATGTTCTAAGAAGAGTAATACTTTGTTTCCTTTTATAAGTATTTTGGAAGAAAACAGCAATTTTTGTGAAAGTCTCATATACAAGACTATAAGTTACATACTTTCTACCAACTTGTTACTGTATTGAAACAAAATTTTATTTTCTAAACAAAGGATCACGATCAGATTGACCTTCATGAACTAGCACCTTAGGATGGCACTACTCAGATTTTAATCTTAGGATTCTTTCATTTGTACAAAACAGCTCATTTAATACCATTAAAACTCTTCTAGGAGTTTCCACAGGGCTGCGGACACTTCACTTAACTCACTTAGAATCTCCCTATTATAGTGTTACAGGAATATTAAAATACCATTCTGCTTTCAAAATGAGTAGTGACAAAGTATTACCAGATTTCTTAAGCTCTTGAGGTCAGATGTGATATGCAGTATGTTATTTAAGTTGTATAAGATATCCATTTACTGATTGGATATTGACTTATTTGGATAACCTCCTGAACTATATAAGGGAAAAATACAAAATCTTCCTTTTGATCTTTGAGCATGTGCCTTGAGAATTTACTCACTGAAGAGTTTACACTTTGCTCTTTCTGAGCACAAATTATAGTACTTCCACTATGTGTAAAATGTTAGTATAATTTTGTATCATAATTCCATTATTGGGTTTTATTTGTTTGCAGAGGCTTAGAATTTTAAATTTCTATTGATATAACTTATTTATTCTCTTGACTGTCCATCTGGCCTCCCCAAAGACTATAATTTAAGGCATTTTAGATATCGATGTTCTTAGTACTTTATTATTAAAGTCATTCTTAAATGCTGTTTATTAAGTTGATAATGTTAGGTAATTATGATACCAGAACAAGTGGACATACACATAGCTGATATACTTAAAAGTTTTATTTGTATTACTTTAAAGATATTTTAAACTTTTAACTGTATTACTGTAATAAAAACTGTATTATTATGTGTTTGCATGGTATAATTTTTGTTTAAAGAAGAGGCATTAATTAGTTAAGTGTAACTTCCAAAAGCGTGACTTGGGAATGATAGCACTAGGAGGGCTTGAATAATGCATGAGTCCCAGAGCCACCTTTCTGATAAATTCATTAAATGAATAAATCTTTTTGGCCTTTTACATTTATTTTTCCATTAAAAAGTGTGAATTGTTTTTTATTTAAACCTCATTCCAACTTTTAGGAAGTGTTATATTAATCTGATAATTTTATTTTATAATTATTATTCACTGACTTTATGACCCCTCCTTTTTCTTGTTTTAATTTTTTTTCCTTTCTCTTTCTCTCCCTCTTTCTTTCTTTTTCTTTCTCTCTCTTTCCTTTTATTTTGTCAAATGTTCCAGAGGGGATACCTTCCAGCTCTTGAAGCATTATTCATACATATAAAAACCTAAATTTAATCCCATTAAATGATCCCCTTCCCCTCAAGATAAATTTTAGGTCTCATTCTGTTGACCATGCTGGAGCAAGAGACATAGTCAGAGCTCATGTTAACCTCCAACTTCTGGGCTCAGGTGGTCTTCCTGCCTCAGCCTCCTAAGTAGTTGGGACTATAGGTATGCACCCTCAAGCTTGGATAACTTTTTTATTTTTTGTAGAGACAGGATCTCACTATATTGTCCAGATTGGTCCCAAATTCCTAGACTCAAGTGATCCTCCTACCTTAGCATCCCAAGGTGCTGGAATTTCAGGCATGAGCCACTAAACTCAGCCTGCATGCCTTTTTTTGTTGTATTTATTTCAAAATATTCATCTTCCTAATTCTGTTTAAGTTTAGGGGATTCTCTTCTGCTATTTATCTTTTGTTTTTTAATAATACTTTCATTTAAAAAATACTTTCATTTAAAAATCGGGATTTAAAGAGATTTTATATTTTCAACATAACAATATGTACATATGCATATATAAAATAACAAAATTATATATATGAAGTTATAAAAAAATTACATGCAAAATACATAAAAATATAAATAAAAATTGTAAGTCATTTAAAAATATTCCTGAATTTATCACAAATTGTTCACTTGCTTGTTCTTGTAATTCCCTCTCCTTTTTTAAAAACATCTCTTCAGGAAAAAAATCATTTCTAATGCTTAGATTTCTTTCTTAAGAAAACTTATAACATTTTGGATGAATGGAGTTTTAAAACGAATTATCTTATAAAAGAAAAATTGAACGAAGTTCTATCAGGCAACTGTTTTATGACTGATGATTCCTTTCATGGAGACCTTCAGTGGAAGTGTTACAAACCACATGTGTATTTTTCATGCCAAAGCTTATGATTTTCCTTTAGATGAGCAAAAAAAAGTTTT